AGAGACAAAACGAGTAAGCAGCGAAAAATAAAACAGGGGGTTCCTCAGGGTGGTGTCCTTTCCCCGCTACTGTTTAACTTTTATATTTCAAAGCTCCCTCAACCACCAGAGGGAGTCTCGATTGTCTCCTATGCCGACGATTGCTCGATTATGGCGACTGGGAATGGAATTGATGACCTGTGTTCGAAAGTAAACGGCTATCTCTCCGAACTTTCTCGCTTCTTCACTGCAAAGTGTCTAGCCCTCTCCCCTACGAAATCCTCCGCGACCCTGTTCACAACCTGGACGAAGGAGGTCAGGCTACCGCTGGGGATTCACGTCGATGACACACCAATTCCGACGGTGAATAACCCCAAAATACTCGGAGTAACTTTCGACAGCCTACTCTCCTTCTCTGCGCACTCAACCGCTATTGTCAATAAAGTACAGAGCCGCAACAAGGTCCTCAAGTCGCTAGCCGGCAGTACCTGGGGCAAAGACAAAGAAACGTTGCTGGCAACATACAAGGCAATAGGCCGGCCGGTTTTGAACTACGCAGCGCCAGTGTGGTCGCCTGGGACTAGTAGGACGCAGTGGACGAAGCTACAGACCGCACAAAACACCGCACTGAGGACAGCGACGGGATGCCTCCTGATGACGCCTGAACACCACCTGCACGGCGAGGCGCAAATGCTTCCGGTAAAGGAGCACAATATAATGCTCTGCAAGCAGTTCCTGATCGGGACCCACAGAAGTGGCCACCCGTGCAGACAGCTGCTTGCAGAGGAGCCCTCGCCTAGGCACGTCAGGAGGCATCTATATGAACTAACGGACGAAGTCCAGAGGTTCATTAAGCAACCTCTGGACCCGACAGCCTACAGACAGGCCTTGAACGGCATTCACAGGGACTCAGTCTCGAGTTATGTAGACTCTAGACCTGTGAATGCCGTTCTAGGCACACCACCCCCGGACATTGACGAGACGGAGCTTCATCTGCCTCGGGAGACGCGCACCACACTTGCACAACTTCGCTCCGGCTACTGCAGCAGGTTAAACTCCTACCTGAGTAGGCTGAATGAGGATGTGCCTAATGAATGTCCGGCATGCGGAGAGACCCCACATGACTCGAAACATCTCTTCGCATGCCCGGCAAACCCGACATCCCTAACGACCTTGTCCTTATGGGCAAACCCCGCAGAAGCTGCACGCTTCCTAGGGTTACCGTTAGTGGAACTTGACGACAACGACTGAGATACCAACCGATCTGGGCGGGGTTGTTGTAGCCGCTACAACAACAACAACAACTCGAACCATGGAGGTGGGCATTTATACTTGAATTTATCCAGTTTGATACCGATTCCTGTTTGTTTTGCTGCATCGATACTTCTTGCAATTGACGATGGTCGAGACATAGGGTTCTTTCTTTTGCTAATCGAGGTGACCACATCATATAACATTGCATTTCTTCACTGCAGTAGTTTTGGAATTAGCTTTAAGGTGTTGTACGTTATCCTTTCTTTAATTGAGGGGAGTCCTGTTTCTGTTAAGGTGAACCTGACAGGCGAAGTTGGGAATGCTCGTATACACCTCCTAGCAGCTACGTAATATGGTGGTTGGATGAGATTAATGTTTTTATTCGCACAGTGGCCGTAGATCGGTAGACCATAGTCTATTTTGGAAAGGATCAGGGCCTTGGTAGCGTTGATGAGCATTGTGGGGTGCACGAGGCAGTGCTTCGATGATAAATATCTTATTATATCTAATCTCTTATCAAGCGTTGTTCTAACATAATTACAATGATTTTTGAAAGTTAGTTATGAATCAAATATTATCCCCAAATTTTTTAATGTATTGAAGCTATTAATGTCTACATTATTAAACGTTAGATTTATAGGTGGACAAAGTTTTTTATTACATATATGAAAGCTTTTGCATTTACTAAACGATATCCTGGCTCCCGAGATATTACCCCAGTTTCCCATATCTGCCAATATATGGGTAAAATCCGTTTGTACCACCGATAAATCTTTACAGTTGGAATAAAGTAGTAAATCGTCAGCATACATTATGTGATTCAAGAATTTTATTTATTTCGTCAAAAGCAATCATAAAGAGCACCACAGAAAGTGGTGAACCTTGAGGAATACCGTTGAACAATTTGTAAGTAGTTGAATATTTATTATTTACTTTGACGGCAAAGAACCGATTAATTAGAAATTCTTTAACAAATTTGTTCCAACGAGCAAGCTGCTGGAGGACGACATGTGGCCCAATTCTGTCGTAAGCCTTTTCGAAGTCAATGCTCAGGACGGAAATATGGTTTTTGGTGGACGTATACATATTAAAAACAAGTAAAAACAGCACTGTCTTCGGCTATGCCGAAGGCTTCATACCTTTCATGAACATCTGAAAACTTTACTTTAACTGATTACTGTATTTGAAAAAATTTATATATTCACAGCACAAGTAGATAGAGGTGTTACATATATAAAAAATCTTATGTAAACAATTAGAGGTATGATAGGTATACCTTATATAGCACCAATCTAAGTGATTTTCACTGCTGTGTGATCGGTATGTAAACCGGTAACACAATGTATGGGTTAAGCTTCCTACATTAAGGAGATATATCGCAAAAACTGGTATAGGGACAATCAGTGGTATAAGAGATAAAGCTTATACAGCACAGATTTTGACGATTTTCTCAGTAGACTTTGTATTATTATTTATACAATAGCTTACGAAATTAATCGGTTTTAGCTGTCCAAATAAATTAGTTTTACATTAAAATCCCCTATCTGAACAATCAGTTGTATGGGGCAATATATAAGTTATAGTGACCCGATCTTTGTTAATTTCACTGTAAACTATCTGTCGATAATGAGTGAAAATAGTGCGAAAAATCATATTTCCAACTGCATATATGGAGAAGTTATAACAAAGAATCTCATATCTGAACAATCAGTTGTATGGGAGCTATATGTAAAAGTGACCCGATCTTTGTTATTTTCACTATAAGAATTCTGTTGATGATAGTTGGAAGTATTGCAAAATTTCATGTTCCTAGCTGCATAAATCGAGGAGTTATAACGAAAATTCTCATAACTGAACAATCAGTTAAATGGGAGATATGTATATGTTATAGTAACCCGATCTTTATTATTTTCACTGTAAATATTCTGTTAATAATGAGTGAAAATGGTGAGAATTTTCATGTGTAGCTGCATAAATGGAGAAGTTATGGCAAAAAATCTCATATCTGAACAATCAGTTGTATGGAGGCTATAGGTTATAGCGACGCAACCTTCGCCATTTTCATTGAAAGTATTCTTTTGATAATGAGTGACAGCATTGCAAAATTTCATGTTACTAGCTCCTTAAATGGAGGAGTTATAAAAAAAAATCTTATATCTGAACAATCAGTAGTATGGGAGCTATAGGTTATAGTGACCCGATCTTTGTAATTTTCACTCCAAGTCTTCTGTTAATAATGGGTGGAAGTATTGTAAAATTTCATGTTCTTGGCTGCATAAATGGAGAAGTTATAACGGTAAATCTCATATCTGAAAAATCAGTTGTATGGGAGCTATATGTTATAGTGGTCCGATTCTCCCGGATTAATACAATATTAAAACACACCCACCCACCAAATTTCATCCGGATATCTCGAAGACTGAGAGACTAGATTGCATACAAACAGACGGACAGACCGACAGACAGACAGACGGACATGGCTAAATCGACTCAGCTCGACGTTCTGATCATTTAAGTATACATTTTAATGGGTCTATCTTTTCTTATTCTGGTACTTAGAAACATCGGACCAAAGTTATACCATTTCATGCTCATGAAAGGTATAATTAAGTGATCATTTACCAAATATATAAATATTTACATATTCTGTAAAAAATATCTAAAATAATAAGCGAAAATCCCAAAGTTCTATATGAGTGTTCGCTATGTGAAGACCTTGTACAAGCTGGTAGCAATTTTTTTAAATCGTGTTCGTTTGGCCAAAAAACCAGTAAAACTTGC